ACAAATACAAATTCACACAAATATCAAGTCAAGTAAGGCCAAGTAAGTAAATGACTTTATAAACCAAAATGAAGACAGGAGTCTAATGAACAATGTATAAAATCAGAGGAAATAAAATTTGCGGACGTGTGAAAAAAACAGTGTTTATACTCTACAGCTAAAGATATTAATGAACAATGAGCAAATTATTTACCATATTGACAGTCATTAGGAGCTGACGGCTCTCGTCAAAATAAAGGGGTGGGGGGATACTATCAAAGTCACTCGGCAAAAGATTAATAATACATAAGCAGAAGTTAAAATCTGCATTGCCTACATACATATGTACACATTCATTTGTGTCGATGTGCTTTTCCATTTAAATAACTGGATTCTATATATACACAAATCAATTACCTTGTCTATGCATGTAGGATTGAATGTTTGTGTGAGCACGTGCAGCACTTGTGAAAAGTTATCAAATTAGACTGTCGACTATAAAATAATTATATATACACATATGTATACATACATATACATGCATGTATACATACATATATACATGCATGTGCATAGATATACACACACCTATATGTATATGTATACAGATACAAACATTTTCTTGGCTAAATGACTAGGGGAAATTTGAGAAAAGATTCAGTGCATGCTTATGCTGTTTAGGGTCTTCCATGAGCCTTTAAGACTCATGCTGCTTTTCTGAATCCTTCAACTTTCCCCTTCACGAAACACAAGAGCACTGAAATGGCTACTGTTTTCTACATCACCTAACTGCCATAGAACACAGAAACATGTAACAGTTCTTGCTTCACAATCCAACATGCATCAACAGTACAAGTTCCAGTATTTTTTCCACTTAGCAAACTCTGACCATGTGCGCTAAATATGGCCTATTTTCTAGATGCCGCAGTGATCCCATGAATGGGTTCTCTGCAGCAACTGTATGTGTACATATATAAAATAGAGGTTTTTGATATGAAATATAAAAAATGTATAAAAAAGTGGAGAATCAAAAAATAATAATTGACAACAGACTTCATTCCTCACAATTATATCAAGCTGTCATTTCTAGCCTTGGCCTTACTATGTAATATTATTAGTAATAACAAAAAGCATATGGTACCACCCACCACCAACCACTAAGGTTCCCCTTAATGAACTTTACTCTCCCAAGATGTAGCCTGTTTGCATGATTATTGACTTCATGATTACTCTTCATAAACTCCAATCTGTACTTTGATCTGAATGTTGCTACAGCCACATTTACAAAAAGGACAACATATGTAACCCAAGCAACGAGGGACACAGATTAAAGACTTGCTGGGCAACAAGCAGGTCACGGCATGGGAGTAGAACTGTAAGGGGGGTGGTGAAAGTGGCAGCAGTGTTAATCGTGCAGTACCGTACCTCCCGCAGGTGAGGCCCCATAGGCAGCGGTTAGCGGCGACGAGAGTCCATGCATTGCAGCAAACGGGGAGGCTAGCACACCGGGGGCACCTACAATATTGATAGCACACCCTGAGGCTGGGTCCACGAGCCCCTACCACACACACACCCTCTGGCAGGGGAAAACTGTCTCTACTTCCAGCCAGAATCATACAATCCCTCATCACAAAATGAAAAAAACACAGGATGTTGGAAATCTGAGGGCATAAACAATTGTAAGGATCTATAGTCCCCAATTGAGAGTATGAAAATGTCTTTTTTAATATCCATTTTTCAGACTCCTTGTAGTGACCTCAAATTTTCAAACATTTGCACCGTCTTTTTTCCATTTCCAGTGCTGTTCAGATTAAGCAGCATACTGGGATGGGCTTCATTAGGTGAGCAGAGACCGCTGTTCCCACAAGACCCCTAACTAACACAACAACAGTGCACAACTAACAACATGCCCACATACACCCATCTGATACTCTATGTCAAGTACTAACCGCTCTCTCTCGCTCTCTGAATCTACTTTGCTGATAGTTCTACGTTTGGATTAGTGCAAATCAAAAAGCTCTTTAACTGACTGCTTCTGTGAATCCCAACGGCTACAATTTGTAATTAGATAAGCATAGCTTCCAAACCTACAGAAGCTTTGGGTCAAGTATGAGGGCGAGTGTGTGCCAGTGTGTGTTAGACGACGGTGGTCACGTGCACTCGGGTCATGTGTGGCAGAGGTGCTGCTACGTACGGACATCACAGGGTTTACCCTCCAAACACCACAAAACTCAATAAAAACCAACACACACAAAATCACTTTTCTTTGTTTCCAAAAGTGTCCCCTTTTCTGCCAAATCAACTAGACTACTGTGGTTTTTGTTCAGTTTTGGGGAGGCTGCAGGAAACCAATGGGTCACCCTTTTAATGGCATTTTCTCTCTCATCTTTCTAAGGATGAAATTCTGGGGATTACATAGGGACTGTTTTGGAAAGGTTTTTGGAGTAAAAACAAATACAGTAATAAAAAAAAATAAAAAATAAAAAAACAAAAATATAATCAAACCCCTGATACAGCTAAATCAAAAATTTATCAAAATTCTGAGGCAGACAAAAAAAAATTAAGAAAAAATAACCAATAATAAATAATTCAAAATCTTTAGTTCTTGTCCTGATTAGTCTTGTTTGGTTTTTTGTTTTTTTTTTGGTCATTGTACTGTAAATCACAATGTTTGTGAAATCAAATAAATACGGTATATAAAAATCAACGAAAAACGCAATGGGAAATGTCCAGCAGTGGACAGAGGAATGGAGAGGAAAAGTTGGTAAGCAGTCTGGTAGAAGAGAAGAGGGGGACAGGCTGGTGAAGTCTGGGGAAGAGGAGTCCAGAAGAGAGCAGATTGGGGTCCACCTCAGCCCACACCAGTCAAACTCAAGCCATGGCAAAAGCCTCAACATCTTACGTTAGTCTCATCTACTTCTAACAAAGGTCAACTTCTTTTCTAAAGAACAAAGATTATTAAGGCTGCAGCACAACCATCTTGATTAATGTTCACCTATTTACATCAACTTTGGCAAGAGTGTGACACGGTGCTGGATTTATTGGTGAATAAATGGGCCACTTTGCATGCAGGGTGGCCCACGTGGGAAGCAGCCCACATTGCGTGCAGGGAGTGGCCCGCTTGTTGACCACACTGCAGAGCAGGCCAGGCCACTTACCACCAATAGCCAAGGCAGAATCCAGGGCAGGATCGCCTGTAGGAAGGTTAGGGTTGGTGTAGTCTCGGGACTTGTCATTGTTGTACTTCACATTAAGGTTGCTCAGCTTGCTGTACTCAATTCGGAGGGTGCAGCATGCATTGTAGATATTCTGGCCATCCAGTGTCTGTTTGTATAAAAATAAAATTAAGATGCATCATGTGTACTTTCTTTTTTTAAAATCTAGTACAGGTGAAAACTTTGACATTACTATCAGTTATTCCTTTATAATTATCACTGATATTGCTTTCTGAAAGGCTATGAGGGGTTACACATTGCAAAAACACCTTTACAGTACAAAGCATGATCCCCTGGATCTATGATGAGAGCAAGAAACAATGATTGGCAAAAAATGTAGGGGCAATTCACTTCTTTAAACAGAATCTTACTGGTTATTTACATTTCTGTAACCTTAAAGAGATAAACAATACTTCATAAAGAATGAAAAGATTACTCTCACTTTGATACACATCTAAGCCTTACCATTTTGGCTGCCTGAGCTGTGACAACATCGGGATACTGGATAAGAGCTTGGAATGTGTCTGAAAGAAAGAGAGATAATTATGAACAAACCTGATTCATACCAGTAAATAGACACCACCTAATCTTAATTCTCAGTCATGTACCTATCGTGGTAAATTTCCCTGCTGTTCTTTCTTATCAAATCCCTCACCTATTCAAAATTTAAAACTAAAGATCCTAGGGCAAGTCAATGGATACCCCTCAATCATACACAACCTTTTTAAACCTAACAAAGAAGCTGACAATTAGAAACTTGCTTGTGGGCACCTCCTAACAGTGTAATGAAATGCACTAAAATAAAGTATGAGGGCAGTGGTGGCAGTAGGAGGGTGGCTGGGCAAGGGACTGATAAACATGCTGGCGGAAATAGAACCAAGATAAACATGCCAGCCATCTGGTGCTCCCTTCCTTACCCTATTCCCTTTGCTTCTAACCAGGTACTACAGGAACTGCCAAACACACAAACAGAGCACTATACATACAAAATTGTAATATTTACTGACAAAAAATGGCTCTGACATGAAAAATTCTATTACACAGACTGAAGCTGTGACTGTTCTGGTGTAAAACTAAAGATTGGACTCTCCACTTCTATATCGAAAGATTCAAAACTCCTGAATCTAGTTCTCAAACCTAAAATCATATAAAGTGCACACTCCCTACAGAATAGTAACAATGCAGAACCTATCAAATTAAATGTATAGTTAATTTTGGTAAACTTAATCCTGTACAATATAACACAACATATTGTAGTATAAAACTTACTGTTTTTCGTGAAGGTGACAATCTTGAGCACTTTACCAACACGTGAGAAGATCTGGAAAGTATTGTTAAAATATAGTTAAACATTATAACATCAATTCTGTATGGAGAAAAAACACACACACACACACACACACTCTCTTCATATAAATAACCACTGTCATATTTCTACTTTAACTGACAATGTTTTGAATCTGGTGGTTGACCAGTTTGTCAGAAAGCCACTCTTGAGCTAAAGGCTCTTAGGAAATTTCATTATGGAATTATTTATTTTCGATAAACAAAAGGGGTGAAAAAGGGGAAGTGGGAGCTAACAAAAAGAATGGGAGGGAAGGGGGGGGGGGAGAAGAGGTCAGAGATAATAGAGGATAAGAGAAAATTGATAAGGAAGCACATTCTCTATCAGTTTAAAAATCCTTTGGAGTTTTTCATGCTGAAAAACTAAATTTGTGGTGGAAGGGAAGTGAACAACCTATATTTCATAAAAAGCAACTTCTTGTCCATAAAATCTGGAAATCACACACTAAAATCATCATCATAACTGGCAATGACAGTTAACATAGCAAACTCTTACACTACCACTACCAACTTGCTCTCACACTGTACACCCACCCCAGCTCACACAATAAGTTTAATTAAGCATAAATGAACGAACGCTGCGCACACCGCTCAACACCTGGAGACCAATTATCAACTGACTTCAAGAGACATCTTCAAATGTCTCTCTCATATTGCACATGAGGAAATTCATTGTCATTTGAAATGAGGAATGTAAAATTATCATTGAAGAATGTACTCACTGGGATCCTTCCAATTGTGGATAAACAATCAAACAAACAAACAAACACATAAAAAGAATTTCCTTGTAAACATGCACAATGGTAAACTACTATTACATTCTATTCCTCAAAATTGGAGTACCGATTACTTTGGTTGCTATACTGAAAGTGGATTCGAAAACAACCAGCAAATCTCTTAAAAACGTAAGGCATTACCGCCGAATGTCAGTTATAATGACCTCGGACACGTCTTACTTCCGCTTCGGATGACGGCGACCGCGGGAGAGTTCAATGACTTTCCGACTAAAGTCTTTTCGGCGTGTACAAACGTTCGTGAGTGCGAAGCATTCCTTCGCTCGCTCGCTCGCTCGCTCGCTCGGTCGCGCTCAAGCAAAATGCGTCTCCGTGTCTTGCATCTGAGTTTCCGTCATTCAATCCATTAGGCCAACACAGCGGGAACTTCCTCCAATGGCTGACGGCAATCTTGAGCGCTCGTATACTCGAAAACACTCGTATATATTCTGCTCGAAACACACGACTTGCAAGCGTTTGCTTTTGAAGCACGCACTCTCGCTCCTCTAATATTCAACAGATCGCGCATGGAGCCACGAAAAATGCTCTTTGTAAATGATTTGTAGATCAGTCGAATCTGACAAGCTGTATGGTTAACACGAGTGCGGGGAGGTGGTAACTAAGGTGGTAACCAAGGTACATGCATTAATGTATAATGGGTACGGAGCGAGGTGCGGGTCGTGTAGGTACGGTGCGAGGTGCTAGGCAGGTGCGGCCCGGTGTTATCGATCCGCACCTGAATCCACCACTAACATGCACCAAATATCCAGAAAGTCTAAAATATAATGGACCTGAAGGGAAACGCTGTTTCCGAGGCAATATACATCGGAATAAAATGAGACTGATTGTAAAATACGAAATATTCTTCTTTCCGGACTTCTTAGCGCAGTTGCGCAAATCCTGCCGTCGTTATCCCATACACACCGTGTGTGCGGTCGCCGCTTTTGGTTACAAACTCGGTGAATGATGAATTCGGTAAAGTGTATCTAGGGACAATCACAATATCATAACGAATGATACGAGTTACGGAAAAACGGGTGGTCGGTCACCCACGTACATTCTCATCAAGCAAACTGGGCATGAGGCAACTTACCTGATACAGGACATCAAGGGTGACTGGATAGATCATGTGCTCGACAATGACCCTGAGCACAGTGTTGGGACCGCCCTGAGTGTCCGTCTGATTGACCAGGGCCTGAGCAGCCTGCAGCGCCGCCTGTGCACTAGGGTTCTGCTGGGAGATCAAACATTCATATTTTCACTGAATGACACAAGGAAAGGCACTCATTGTAAAAGATTGGAGAAATGTAAAAGGCGAGCTACCTCCGAACCCGTTCGTTGGTGTAGCTCCCCATTTTACAAAAGCCACATTTACGATATGCATTACTACATGCGCTGCATTGTTGAATGAGTAGTTTAAATTTGTTATATAGTAGGTAGGTATTCCAGAAGAGCAAACCCTCACTAACACTGACATTTTATCTATTGAAACTCATTAGGATAGTAATTTTGTTGGGCTTGGATGAATGAATCTGCAAATATTAACATGAACATCCCGTGTCCCTCCCTACAAATCTGGCCCACACCAGGATATGCGCACACGAACACGTGTTGTTCATGTGCAATGCCCCTTTCCTTCCGTGCAGCTCCACGTCTACCAGTAATATCATCTGCTTGTGGCGAGGAAGTTACACGTGGAGTTGCGAGTCAGGACTCACCGCGTTTGAGTGAGTCTGGTCGGTCTTAAGCTCCTTGTGGTTGGAGAACTGGACGTAGACGGCGCGGCCACGCAGCTGGGCGGTGCAGTTAGTGAAGTAGTTGACCATTGTGGTTGCGCTAACTTCATCGGACATCTCCAAGAAAGCCTGCGAATAAGAACGGGGGGAACGGTGTAATGAGATAAACAAGCAATAAAAATCCAAACGCAGACGAGGGGGAATTAGATAATCAGAGAGAGGGAAAAGCGAACAGTCAAATTGGGACTAAATTAAGGGGAGGAGCTAAAAACTGAAAAAAAATGATTGCATGCAAAAATGGAAGTTAAAACGGGACACTGAATCGGGGAAAAGGAAAGAACAAAAGTGAGGTAACTAACGAAAAAACAATAATAATGTATTCGTATAAAAAACAAGCGGTTAATATTTACCTATTTGATTCCTCTTATCCAAACTATAAAAATGATTCTATGAAAAATACCGGCTAAAATAAGAGGCCTTTCCCTCCTCTAGGCGAAGCAAAGCAAGGTCGAACATGTCCAGGCAGATCAGATGACCTGCCGCGCACGAGGTCGCCACCGAGCCGCAGCGGCTGGCAGCGGCGGCGACCTCCGTGACCATCGACCAGTTAATCAAAACCTGCCTTGCGTCAAAACCACACGACTTTGGGAGACGACAACGCGTTTTAATATTTTTCACGCCTTATTTCTTGTATTTCCCTTCCTCCGAGGGTTACTTACCTGGTTCTTGCCCTTGAGCACGAGCACGTTGGTGACCTTGCCGAAGGGAATACCCAGGTGGACGATCTCCGCCTCGGTGACCTCGTTGGGAATGTTGCGGATGTGGATCACGCGGGACGGCGCACCGGGGTTTTTCGTGTCCAACTTGACCTGCAAAAGCGAAAGGCAGAAAAGGGTTAATATCCAACAAGAGCAAAATCGAAATACATCCAATATCACACATTTAAACCCTCCCTCCAATACTCCCTCCCCCTCCCCCTCCCCCTCTCTCTCTCTTCCACACCAAGCTTCCATAAGGGATAAAGATTAACGGCCCTGCAAATACAGCTCCCTTTGTTGGTACTGGCAAGAACGAATGGCCGCGGAGGGAACGTCTGCTGCTCGTAACCATCTCCTCCCCTTCACTCGTATCTAACACTGCGCCAAACATTTTCTAAACGGAGCATTGGATTCATAAGCTTGTGTGCAAGTGACTGAAAAAATGCTCTTCTTGTTTTGACGTCTTGCAACCGAAATGAGCTCCAGCTGCCTTCCAGACGTGTGTTTTGGTATTGAAATTCTAACATCCCTCTCATTGCGTATACAAATGCAGATTTTGTTCTATTTTGGGCCAAAAATGTCAACGACTTCAATAAAACAATCATCAGCCCATGGAACGTTTGCGTCGCCCTCACTACTTCGCAAGTTTGACCAACTACAAAACGCGCACAGTAAACGAAGACCAGGGGAGGCAGGAGAGCATGCAAAGCTTCCCACGAAAGGGCACCACCGGCATCAGGAGCATCAGCATCACCTTATCAGTTATGCTCAGTGGACACAGCACGGGAACGGCTGGCCCTCGAGTCTCGTAACTACAACGCCGTGGAAATGAGGGCTATCACTCCTCCTCTCCTCCCCCTCTTCCTACTCTCATCTGCCTCATCACCACTCCCTTCATAATCTGAGTTGCGTGTGTTTGATGCACACCGAACCCACGTGCGGGAGGGGGTGGGGGGGAGACTCAATAACGGTCTTTTAGAATATAACAAAACTGTCCCCTGAAGAAATGCAGCAGACTAACTATTACCGCATGCCCCTTGTCACTCCGCCAAAACGAGAATTACGTTCAAAGAAAGTACAGCAAACACGGACGCTTAAAAACGCACCTTTATTAACCAACAAAGGAAAAGAGTAACGTGAAGGGTGATGAAAAATGAAAAAGAGGTTATGAAACCGACACCCATCACGTGCACCTATGGATACCTTACTTCAGTCCCCCTCGTGAAGTCACGCATCCACGTAATATGACCCCCTGCTCCTGTAGAGTGAGTAGGTGTTTACTCAGGAAAAATAATGAAAAAAAAAAGAAATAAAGAAAAGGGAAAGAACAAGGGAAGAGGGGCGGGAGGCGAACACGGGCGGCGCGCTGGATCCGAGGCACCCGGCGATTCCCAAGCTGACCGTTCTCACCGGCACGTGGACATGAATCCTAACATTATATTCATGAAGCCTAGAAGACAAAGCACGTTGTCTAGTTTTCCCCATTTACCTATAACATGTATCCAAACAGCAACATAAAAAGGAACAAGGTGGTTACGAGGCATAACTAGGTTACCATATTTGCCATGCGATATCCTATGCCGACTGATTCAATAAAAAAAATTCCGGGATTTTACTGGGCACCATCATCAGTGAGCAAATAGTAAGGGTTCTATTATATACACACAGTAACTAAGGCTTACTTTGCTCAAATCAATTATCTTCTATATAGCAAAGAAATGCTATAAAAAAGAAACGTTTCTCCTAACATGACATTAAATGGAGCATTCTCAAAGGACGAATGCCATCATCTACCGGTGATATATACACGCCGTCCCCACCACCCCGCGTTTACAACCTATTCGGAAACCCCGCCAGTACCTGTCATTCACAAACGTTCTAGGTTGCAGACGCGATGGCTGGACTCGCCAAACTCTACCAAATGAGCGGCTGCTGCACCAACCCCTTCAGGACGGACCCGACGACCCTCCCTCTCCCCTCTCTCCCCTCCCTTCGCCCGCACTGCTGCTGGGTCTACGTGTGTTCTTTGTTCCATGAGAGAGAGAGCGAGTGAAAAGGGGCATGTACAGTACAAGAGAGCGTGCGGCTCTTACCTTTTTGGCGTCATTGTTGTTGTCGGCGTGGTTGGGCGCAGGACTCATAACGGAGCCATTGCTCACCGCCCCGGTCTGCGCCAGCAGCTCATCAGAGCCACGCTGGAAAAGGAAAAAAGGCACAAGTTAGTGTCAACTATAATTTGAAATTAGAGGAATAGGTTTTACCCTCGTGTGTGTGTGTGTGTGTGTGTGTGTGTGTGTGTGTGTGTGTGTGTGTGTGTGTGTGTGTGTGTGTGTGTGGAAGTAAGGGAAAAGTAATGGGGAAGAAAACGATCGAACACGAGAGAGAGAGAGAGAGAGAGAGAGAGAGAGAGAGAGAGAGAGAGAGAGAGAGAGAGAGAGAGAGAGAGAGAGAGAGAGAGAGAGGTGAAGAAGTGAGGAGAGGAGACTAGACAGAATGTGTAAGGCAGGGAGGGAGGGAGGGAGGAAGAGGGGGCGATAGGTGGGCCACGATCGATAATCAACAGGTTGTCCAAGGAGTGAACAACACCTCTCCACACCACGCTACCCTCCGTTACACCGAAATGTGCACATCCAATATTTCCGCCGACGTCGCCACAGCTTACCCCCAGCCACGCCTCGACTACGCCTAAGAGTTTCCATTATCCCGGCTTTTGTAACGAGACTTGATTAGCGAACCTCCATCGACATCTCGCATCATCAACGGCTGCTCTTCGCCCTAATGCACGCTACAGCTACGCCTTTCGCCCACGCTCCTTGGGACACGGGACTCCGCGATGCGGAATAGAATTCGCTTGCAAACCTCGTGCAGAAGGAGGAGGAAAACAAATAGTGTAAAACTTAATAAGAGTTCATGTCAGACGAGGAAAGGAACAAAGAAAGAGTAGTCCGAACTCGAGCGCTTTCGGAGGTCTTGAAGCTGTTCCAATATTTGAACTTCTTGGCGTCACTACTGACACAACATCGCATACTGTGCAAAACAAACAATACGGAGCAACAAACATTCAGTTGACGGAAGCGATGAAACCAACTTGATACTATTACGCCATTCTAATTTTGTCGTTTGGTTGCGGCATTGGTATGCTAAATTTGCCAGCAAGAAGTTTGTTTTAAAGCAAATATTCCCTCAATGCATCTCAAAACTTTCCTCACCCTTACACACTGCGACCGGATCGAGGTAATTCATTCAATTTCCCCGCAGAAAGTACAGGAGAACGCGAAATGGAAATACGAAGGCAAGACATACAAGCTGATGCAGAAGGCAGGATCAATATCACCTCAAGCCTAAACCAGATTTGGTCATTAACCTTAAGATCAATACATTCCCCTCCCCCCCTCTCCCTCGCCTTTGCCAGCAACGACTGTCCTAGAGCATGTAAGGATATTGAGAGCGTGCGCGTGCGCGCTCGGGTACGGGCGGGGCAAGAAATACAAATCAAACATTCTGAAAACCAAGGGCGACCACAACAGACTAATGCTGCCTATTTCAGGAATGTCCCTGTAAACAAGACGAGCGTGTCAACATGTACCGGGCCTGCGTGGCTGCTGTGTAGGAGACGCGCACGCAACGCACAAACGAAAACCTAACAACGCAAACTAAAGCACAGACCAACTATTCGAGGACTAATGAGCAAGCAGGAACCGGAGACAGAGGAGACGGAGGCTGCGGCAATAATTGCTGGATTACCTGATGTTAGCATATGGATGCTGCTCCCAGCAATTACCTGCGGATTATATCCCGGGGAACAGCGGCGAGGAGGGGGAGATGCCTCTTCTACGATATTGGGTACTGCTTTATGTGCGTTAATGAACTACAACCGGCCCGTAATACCCCATCCGTGACGGCGTTATTAACTAATATACCATAGAGACCGCACTCTTCAAGGAGAACCGAAGCGACTTCCGGACACACGCACGCACGCATACATATTATAAACAAAAAGCTAAAACAAATCCTAAAAAAAAAAGAAATCTTTTGAAGCTGGTGTACCCGTGAGATATGATAATCGATCCGGTAACGAGATCTGCTGTAACACTTCACGAGATACATGGCCATATAAATAAATATATGCATCAAACAAATCATTTTTGGACCCGGATTCATCCCCCTGCATTCTCCACCCCACCCCCCTCCGTGTCACCAGGGTTTGAGGCAAGAATTTCAACGCGTCAATTTAAAGTGTATCCTCCCTCGTGTGCGGTCAAATATTTAAAAAAAAAGAGAGAAGATAAGAAATGAAGAGAAAGAAGGAGGGAAAGAAGCGGCGTTGATGTTAGGGGAAGAAGGGAAAGGCCAAGATGAAGGAAGGGATAAGTCAGGGAGGGGGGGAGGGAGAGGGAGGGAGATGTAGAGATAGACAGTTTATGAACGACCAGCGCGAAGCTCCACCACCGTCATAGCACACCAAGCGCACTTCCCTTCCCCCGGCGCGTCCTTCCCCGGCGAGAGACATTAACCCATTCCCAAGACAACCGAGTCAGCTGACAGCATCGCCGCCGTTCGGTTGGACACGCAGCCCGAGGGAGAAGCCGCCGCCGTCGGTACCCGGGTGTTGCAGTCAACGACCCCGGCGAACCACACTGAAGGACGCGCCTATCTATCTGGCAGATTTCCCCGAGATATTTTCCCGAACAGAGAGGGGAGGAGAGGGAAAGATGGAGCAGGAAGGGAGGGACGTAAGGGGAGGGGGGAGAGGGAGAGGGGGTGTGAGTGAGAGGGGAGAGTGAGTGAGAGGGGGTGTGAGTGAGAGGGGGTGTGAGTGAGAGGGGGTGTGAGTGAGAGGGGGGAGAGAGAGAGAGAGAGAGAGAGAGAGAGAGAGAGAGAGAGAGAGAGAGAGAGAGAGAGAGAGAGAGAGAGAGAGAGAGAGAGAGAGAGAGAGAGCCGAAACTGTTCGCGACATTCCTCCCCTATCAATCCACTGCTGGAACTCTGCCAACACCTTCCAGGGGAGTCACGATCCTCTCCTCGGCCCGGGCGGAGCAGCGTCCTACCGGAACTCGCTCGCTGCTTGTCCGTCCGTTCGTTCGTTCGTTCGTCCGTCCGTTCGCCCTCCCCCATCGCAGCAGCAAAAGCGGCAGAAGCGACGGCGGCGGTAACAAGGACCCCTTTAAACCCTTCGACAACGGACACGTTTTCCTTTTCCGGATGCGCTCGAATGAATGACGCGGCAACAACTCTCCCCTGCCCCTCTCTGAACAAGCCAAACACCACAAGACAAGAAAGCAAGAAAGTGGAACAACGGGAAACATTTCAAACAAGACCTAAAAAGATGGTCTGCCGAAAGTACAATAATAAGAGAAACCGCCGGCCATCTTCTCTACGCGACGTCATTCAGCAGGAAGAAGAGAAACTTCGGTTTGGGGGGAGCGGCTCGGCGGAACGGTCCACCTTGAACTTGACCTCACTCCGCGACGGGCCTGTACAGGAAGCCGCCGCCATTAAGATCCTAAGCCAACATTTTAATGAATATATGCAGATATGCGTGTAAATATAATTACACACTGAATATGAATGTATATATAATATATATATATAAATATAATAAATATATGTTATATATATATAAATATAATTGATATTATATATGTAATATATATACAAATAACATATTATATATATAATATACATATAATATACAATATAATATACAATATAATATACAATATAATATACAATATAATATACAATATAATATACAATATAATATACAATATAATATACAATATAATATACAATATAATATACAATATAATATACAATATATATATATATATATATATATATATATATATATATATATATATATATATATATATATTATATATATCACATTCAAACAGCGTCGGTGGCATACTTTACATGCCACAGCATACCGCCGTCTTAATCTACCCGCTGTTGGCACGGTTTAAAACAATGAACGACAACCTCCCGTCTCGTTGAGCGTGCACGTGCATTGCAAGAATTTATCTCGTTAAGATGAGCGGGTTGTAAGAGGCTGCGGTCGGTTAGACTACGCCAACACAACCAAGGGCGTGCGATGGGGGGGGGGGGGGGTTGAAGCCCGGCCGGAAGTGGAGTGTGAGCGTCAAGCCACATTGGTCGTGTTCAACATATGGTCCACACGTATTGTCGGGTTCCTTCCACTGCTCGTGTGTGCTCGAGTGCATGCCGGAAGATGGGCGACTGTCTGTGTGTCTCATTCGCTCCCACACAAGCACCTTGCAAGCATAAACTCACTACCTCGAGGTAATGTGGCACAGTTTCTTTTTTTTTCTCTTTTTTTACCAGCGCCGCGTCTGTCGGAAGGCGAGGCCTCGCGTTCGGCCTGCGAGGACACCATCTGTCGCGCTCGTCGTTCATTCACTCCCGGGATGCCGCCACTGTGGCTTCTCTAATCACCACCTCAGATTTAGGTATACATTACTCCTTGTATTCCAGTAACATCTGACGCATGCAAATTGGGAGAACAAAATCGAGAATAGAAATTAAAAACAATACGATGACTTTGCTAGTAAGTGTGGGACGAGAGGAGTGTGAGCCGAGGTTTCGGAACGAACAGGTAGTGATCCCTTGGGGTAATGTCCCGCCGTCACGCCCCCCCCCCTCCCCACCCGCCTTCCGCACCTAACTGCCGCGCCGCTTCCTTCAAGAACTCAAAAACAAGCCTAAAGTTCCTCAAGTATCACCCCACCGCCGCCGCTCGCACCTCAGACATCGATTATCACCGTCAAAAAGCTGCCTCATTAATCCTTTCCGCGGACACTATAGGACGTGTAATTACCGCAGTCGCTGTGGACCAGATGCGAGCCAATGTTCGGTGGACGATAATTAATAACCGACTCTCTACCTGACGGTCTTGCGGTTGGCGCTGCGCTGCGCTCGGCGGCCACCCACACCGCCTACCGCGCCCAGCGAAGACAGGAAAGGGACGGGAAGGAGGTGGGCGGGCGCTAACCACAGGTTATAGAACCGGGAGTCGAGGGAGCGAGCGAAGGACGCGGGAGGCGGAGGAAAAGTCGCCTCCCACTCTCGCTTATGGTAGCTCTGCTGTGCCCATTGTCACAACCTTATTGTCCCATCCCTCTCCCCTCCCCCTCCCCCCTCCCTAACACCACCGCCGCCGCCGCCACCACGCGCC